TCGTTTCCACCACTGATTCGGACTACATAACCCTTCCATTCTTCGCCCAAAGCGTCAGCAGCAACTTCTGTGGCCATACGCTTCTCATAAAAAGTACGAAGTTTGCGTTCATTGTCCACTTCAATGAGTTTCTGGCAGCCTGTGGCCGGGAAGGAAATATTCAGCTTCATCTTGAAGCAGCTGACCTCCTCCGAGTCGCCACGAAAAAGAGGCCCAACTTCCACTTAGCTCAGGTCACATAGACAGTTTCTGTTATCTCCATACACTTTTTTTTTTTAAAGAGAGATTTTTGCTACAGGGTGCATGCACTCGCCAGAGAGACAGAAAGTGAGAAATCACCCTCCCCAGGGGGGATGGCCACACTGCAATCCCTTCTCCACAATCTCTTCTCCTCCATTCTCTTCTCCGGCTCTTGGGCACACATGCCCACATGCCCAATGTGAATTTTAAGCTGCTAGATCAGGGACTCGAACCACGGTTAACTATGTGGGAGTCCAGCGATACAACCATTACACCATGTGCTAGTCCTTATACACCACATTTTTAAAAATCCACTTTGGGGACCAGTAGATGGCATAGTAGTTATGTTGCTGGACTCCCACATGGCTGGTTTGAGTCCCAGACCTTTTGGCTTGAAAATCACACCAGGCATGTGTACAAGCATGCCCAAGATCCCGGGAGGAAAAGGGATTGTGGTGTGGCCATTTCCCCATTGGGGGTTATTCTCATTTTCCCTCTCACTATGTCTGTCTTTTTGTCTGTCTCTCTCTCTCCAGTGAGTGCATGTGCCTTAAGGCAAAAACCTCTTAAAAAAAAAACCACTGTCAATTCATCTGTCGATGGTCACTTAGGTTGTTTCCATACCTTGGCTATTGTGAATAATGCTTCAATGAACATTAGAGTGTAGATATCTCTTTGAAATACCACTTTCAATTCCTTTTAATATATATCTGGAAGTGGGATTGCTGGATCATATGGTAATCATATTTTTAGCTTTTTTTTTTTTAGTTTTTTGAGAGATCGCTATACTGTTTTCCCAATGACTGTGACAAATGTATACTCCCATCAACCATGTGGGAGTATAAGTCACTGATTTAATCTAAGTTAATTTATTTCCTTCTTACATAAGCAGTAGAGACAAAGAAAGACAGGCACCCTGAATAGAGTCTTTACACTGTGACCCACCACAGCCTCAGCAGCCCTGGCTCATGGGCATGTTTGCCTGGTGTATTCGGGAAGGTTGCTAGACATGGACCCAGAGCCTGCCTATGAGGGTCAGCCTCACGGAGCTTTGTGCCACTACAGATCACTATTTGCCCCTCACTGTAACTTAAATTTGCATTTTCCTGATGATTAGTGAATGGTATTGAACATTTTTTAAGGTCTCTATCGGCCTTTTGTATGGCCTCTTTCCAGAACTAACTATTCAGGCTGACTGCCTGTTTTAAAATAGGATTATTTGTTCTCTTGCTATGAAGTAGTTTGAATTCCTTATATATTTTTAATATGAGCCACTTATCTGATGTCTGATTAGAAAATATTTTCTTCCAGTCTGTGGGTTGTCTCTTCATTCTGTGTATGTTCTGACTTCTCCATCAAACAATCATTCCCCTATCTCTCCCTCTTCTTGGGACTCCCTGAGACACAACAATATTGAAATTTAGACCAGTTAATGGCCTCTGAGTGGTCAAGTGAAAGGAAGAGTTGCATGTCGCTAACTTTAAATCAAATTCTAGAAATGATTAAACTTAGTGAGGAAGGCATTTATTATAGAAAGCTGAGAGAGGCCAAAAGTAGGCCTCTTGTGCCAAACAGCCAGGCTGTGAACTCAAAGGAAAAGTTTTTAAAGAAATTTAAAAGTGTTATCCCAGGGAACAAATGCTAAGAAGGTAAAAACTTCCTTATTGTTAATATGGAGAAAAGTCCTAATGGTCTGGAGAGAAAAATCAAACCAGCTACAACATTCCCTTAAGCCAAGGTCTAATCCAACCCAAGGTCCTAACTTTCTATGAAAGCTGAGAGAGGTGAGGAAGACGCACAGGAAAAGATTGACGTTAGCAAAGGTTGGTTCATGTGGTTTAAGGAAAGATCTCTGAAATATAAAAATATAAGGCAAGGGGGTGGTGAGCATCACGGTGGATAAGGTGCTGGATTCCCACACAGCCAACCACGGTTTGAGTCCCAGACCCAGCCAGCAGCTTGAAAATCACAGAGGGTACACATGCATGTGTGCCCCAAATCCTAAGAATATGGAGGATAAGGAATTGCAGTGTGGCCATCCCCCTAGGAGGTGATTTCTTAGTTTTCCTCTTTCTATTACTCTCTGACAAATGCATGTGCCCTATAGTAAAAACCTAAGTTGTAAAAACATTTAAAAAATTTAAAAATATAAGGCAAAGCAGCAAGTGCTGTTATAGAAGTTTCAGCAAGTTATTCGGAAGACCTAGCTAAGATAATTGATGAAGAGCTACAATTAAACAATAGACTTTTTGAAGAATTATTTATTTATTTAATTCCATTTGTTTTTAATTATCATTTTTAAATTTGACCAGAGACAGAGAGAAAGGGAAAGTGAGAAAGCAAGTTGCCAGGTCCAAGACTCGAACCATGGTCAGCCATGTGGGACTCCGGCATCTCTATCTATTGTGCCATTTGCCAGACCCCCCCTTTTTTAAAAAGAATTAGTTATGTATTTAATTCCATTTGAACAATAGATTTTCTATGTAGACTAAAGTGTTTTATTGGAAGAAAATGCCATCTGGGACTTTCATAGCTATAGAGGACAAGTCAAACCCTGGCTTCAAAAGAAAGTTTTGACTGTCTTGTTTGAGGCTAATGTGGCTGATGGCTTTAAGCTGAAGCCAATCCTCATTTATCATTCAAAAAATTGTAGGACCCTTAAGAATTATGTTAAGGGACCAGCAGTTAGCGTAATGGCTATGTCGCTGGACTCCCATGTAGTTGACCACAGTTCGTGTCCTAGACCCGGTGGCTTAAAACTCACGCCGGGCACATGTGCGTGCATGCCCAAGATCCCGAGAGGAGAACGGAGAAGAAGGGATTGCAGCGTGGCCATCCCCCCCGGGGGGTGATTTCTTGCTTTCTGTCTCTACGTCTCTCTCTGTCTGTCTGGCGAGCACACGTGCCCTATAGCAACAACCTCTCCAAAAAAAAAAAAAAATGCTGTTAAGTCTACTCTGCCTATGCTCTGTAAATGGAACAACAAAGCCTAGATGATATCACATCTGATTATAGCATAGTTTACTGAGCAGTTTAAACTCACTGTGGAGACCTCTTTCTGAGAAAAAAAAAAAAAGATTACTTCTCATTGACAATGTACCTGGTCACCCAAAAGCTCTGATGGAGATGTGCAAGGAGATTAATGTTGTTTTCATCCCTGCTAACACAGCATCCATTCTGCAGCCTATGGATCAATAAGTAATTTGGGCTTTTATGTCTCTTTATCATTTTTTAAAAACAATTATTTTATGTTATTTATTATTATTATTATTATTAAATTTGACCAGAGAGAGGGGGAGAGAAAAGGGGAAAGTGAGAAAGCAAGCTGCCAGGTCTGGGACTCAAACTGTGGTTGGCCATGTGGGAGTCCAGCATTTCAACCACCACGCCACCTGCTGGCCCTTGTCTCATTACTTTAAAAATAGATTTAAAAAAAAATTTAAATGTAAGACAATAGCTATAATAGATAGTGATTCCTCTGATAGATCTAGGTAAAGTAAACTAAAAACCTAGAAAGAATTCGCTATTCTAGATCTGTTAAGAATATTCATGATTCAAGAGAGGAGGTTAAAATATCAACATCAATAGGAGTTCAGAAGTTGATTCTGGGCCAGCAGGTGGCGTGATAGTTAGGGTGCTGGACTCCCATACGGCTAACCACAGTTCGAGTCTCAGAGCTGGTGGCTTGCTTTCTAATTTTCTGTCTCTCTGGTCAAATTAAAATAATAATAATAAATTAAATTAATAATTCATAAAAAAGGAGTTCAAGACTTCAGTAAAAGTAATGGCAGATGTGATGGAAATAGTAAAAACTAGATGTGGGGCCTGAAGCCGTGACTGAATGACTAAAATCTCATGAAAAGGTTTAGCAAATGAGGAGTCACTTCCTTTTTTTTTTTTTTTTTTTTTTTTTTTTTGAGAGGTTTTCGCTATAGGGCACGTGCGCTCGCCAGACAGACAGAGAGAGACATAGAGACAGAAAGCGAGAAATCAACCCCCAGAGGGGATGGCCACGCCGCAATCCCTTCTCCTCCATTCTCCTCTCAGGATCTTGGGCACATACGCACACATGCCCGGCGTGAGTTTTAAGCCACTGGGTCCGGGACGCGAACCACAGTCGACTACGTGGGAGTCCAGCGACATAGCCATTACGCTAACTGCTGGTTCCCTCAAGAGTTCTTGAATGGTGGAATTCAGCCACTTATTTGTGTCTGCTAATTTGTCTCTGATTTGCCTGACTTATTGAAATATGGAAATTATGCATGGTTGGATTTTAGACATACAAGGCACTTCTGGGTGTGCTTTTGGTAGGTGCCCCAGGCACGGAGTCCAATGGCCCTGGACTAGTTTTGACATTTGTTTCTTTCATTACTTTTAGCACTTTGGTAAGGTATCTCCTCTTAAAAGGGACTTCCTGGGGCCAACAGGTGTCATGGTGGTTAAGGTGCAGTACTCCCACATAGCCAAATGTGGTTCAAGCCCTGGACCCAGCAGTTTGAAAATCATGCCAGGCACTCGTCATGTATGCCCAAAATCCCAGGAGAATAGAGGAGAAGGGATTGCTGCATGGTCATTCCCCTCCTTTGGGGGTGATGTCTCACTTTCCCTCTCTCTGTCTTTGTGGCTCTGGTAAGTGCACACACCTATGGCAAAAATCTTAAAAAAAAAAAAAAAGGAAAGAAAGAAAAAGGGACTTCTTGAACCTCTTCACCCTCTTCCCACACTCTCACCAATTGATTTCTGTATTGTTACTTTTTTAGACTCATTTACGTTGCAGGCCGGGAAGGCCACATGCTCAAAGTGCTCTCATACATTAGTGTCAGACGCCTAACTCCAGCCCCTGCCATCATCTTCTATGTAAGTAACAATTCTGCCATGACAACACCCATTCTAAAGGCATTGGTTCCCTCAGTTGGGACGGTGATGCACACCTGCATTGGTAAGCCCCGGGGGTTTTCAAATGACTCAGGTTCCCTTATTGTTGACATGAAGTAGATATATTTTAAAAAAAAATACCTGGGAACAGCAGATGGCATAATGGTTATGTTGCTGGATTCCCATGTAGTTGACTGCAGTTCGAGTTCTGGACCTGGAAGCTTGAAACTCATGCCAGGTGCATGTGCATGCATGCCTAAAATTCCGAGAGGAGAATGGAGGAGAAAGGATTACCATGTGGTCATCCCCCCTGGGGGTGATTTCTTGTTTTGTGTCTCTCTGGCAAGCACACATGCCCTATAGCAAAAATCTCTCCAAAATAATAATAATAAGAAGAAGAAGAAAGAAAGAAAATCCCAATTCAAATAATTATCTTGGGCCAGCAGGTGGTGTGAAGGTTAAGTGTGCATGCCCAAATCCCCACAGAAAGGAGGAGAAGGGACTGCAATGTAGCATCCCCCCTGGTGGGGGATGATGTCTTACTTTCCCTCTCTTTCGGGCTGTCTCTCTCTGGCAAGCACATGTGTTCTATAGCAAACGTAAAAACAAAACAAGTATCTGAACTTCCACTCTTATTTCCAAATTTATCCACCAAAGACACTGAATCTTCCAAACTGTACTCACTACTTAACTTTTTTTTTTTTTTTTTTTTTTGAGAGGTTTTTGCTATAGGGCGCATGCGCTCACCAGAAAAACAGAGAGACAGAAAGCGAGAAATCACCCCCCCCCCCAGGGGGGATGGCCACGCCACAATTCCTTCTCCTCCATTCTCCTCTCGGGATCTTGGGCACACACACACACGTACCTGGCGTGAGTTTAAGCCACTGAGTCCAGGACTCGAACTGCGGCCGACTACATGGGAGTCCAGCGACACGGCCATTACGCCAACTGCTGGTCTCCCCTCTAACTATCTTAATGTATGTTTATCTGTTCTAGAGAGCTGGTAACAAATTATGTAAAAGTCTTTTAGCTTATAGGGAAGAATAAGGCATTTTATTTTCAGGTTTACTGCCAATAGCTTCTCATTATGGTCTAATAATTTAGAAGTCACAGGATCCTTGTGTGGTAAAGATCCTTTGACACCCAATTGGAGTTCTTCAGTGGGGATGGGCCTTGGGTGTGTACCTGGGTACCTGGGCACCGAGATGCCATCCACATTCCCAGCCTCAGGGCCAGAGTATTGCCCCTAAGCCCCAAGAAGAACCACTACTCTCTACCACCCTGCTGTCTCTGAAGATGAGGAGACAGATTCAGGCAGTAGAAATATAAAATCAGGCCTGCACAAGTAATGTGGGTCAAGATGAGATCTGAATTTCATAGGCTTGGGCCCTTGACCATGATGAAAACTCCCTGGAAGGGAAATTCCTGTGAAGCTGGTGTGAGACACACATAAATATTTTTTTTCTTCTTTAAAATCACAACTTCGGGACCAGCAGTTGGTGTAATGGCTATGTTGCTGGACTCCCATGTAGTCGACCACAGTTCAAATCCTGGACCTGGTGGCTTAAACTCACACTGGGCACATGAGCGTGCGTGCCCAAGATCCCAAGAGGAGAATGGAGAAGAAGGGATTGTGGCATGGCCATCCCCCCTGGGGGGTGATTTCGCACTTTCTGTCTCTCTGTCTCTCTCTTTCTGGCTAGTGCACGCACCCTATAGCAAAAATCACCCCTTCAAAATACAAAGTTTCTTTCATACTAAGATGTTTATTCACAGGAAAAATGACCTCGCTACTCTTCTGTGAAATGACAATGTTTTTATGTACTCATGACCTAAGGATGTATTCTTCTTTCTATCAGGGTATCATAGCAACCATCTACATCATCCCTGGTGACATAAATTCCTTAGTCAATTATTTCAGCTTTGCGGCATGGTTATTTTATGGCATGACGGTTCTAGGACTCATTGTGATGAGGTTTACGAGGAAAGACCTGGAAAGGCCTATCAAGGTAAGTTTAGTGTCCCAAATGTCTTTCTTAAAATGAACCAGATAAGGGGCCAGCAGGTGGCATGGTGGTTAAGGTGCTGGACTCCCACATGGCCAACTGCTGTTTGAGTCCCAGATCTGGTGGCTTGCTTTCTCACTTTCCCTTTCTGTATCTCTGTAGTCACATTAAAAATAATCATAATAAAATTACATATTTTTATAAAATGAACAAGATAAGCTACCTAAAATAAAAGGGGCTCACTTTTCTATTTCCAAGCCGACTCTCGTCTTTTCTTGAGGACCACATTTTAGGGGGGCATTTACTCATGTCATCTTATACTTTATGATCCAATGAGCCACTTAATTACTCATTTACTAAGTTATCAAGAATACCTGAGACTTGTCTAGCTAACCAAAGTAAGAGGTCCAGCTCTGACGGTTCTGGCATTTCTCAAACACGCACTTACCCCTAGACTGCTCAGGACTTCTGGACTCTGGCCCCAGGCCCACTCTTGTGCAGTCAACCACTAATAGTCCACAGCTGCAACCCGTGTGGGGTTCCCTTCCCATTCTGTGCATGGCAGGTGTTGGTCTATACGCCAGTGAAGAGGAGGTAGAATTCATTTTGTTTCATTTACACAGAGGATAAATCATCCAATTTCTCCAACAAATCAAATAAGATAAAGAAGGCGGGGAGGGAATACACATGTTAAAAATAGAAAGTCCACACCAGTTAGAGATGCATACGGAATATTTTATAGATAAAAAGACAGGATGCCTGGTGTGTTCTTTCTTCTTTCCTTCTTTCTTTCTTTCTTTCTGTTTTTTGAGAGATTTTTGCTATAGGGTGCGTGCGCTCGCCAGACAGAGACAGACAGAGAGACAGAAAGCGAGAAATCACCCCCCCCAGGGAGATGGCCACGCTGCAATCCCTTCTCCTCCATTCTCCTCTTGGGATCTTGGGCACGCACACACACGTGCCTGGTGTGAGTTTAAGCCACCAGGTCCGGGACTTGAACCAGGGTCGACTACATGGGAGTCTAGCAACATAGCCATTACTCTAACTGCTGGTCCCCCTGGTATTTTCTTATATTCTGGGAAAAAGATAATAAGGTGGGATAGATGAAGATTCACAAAATTACTAAAAATTATTAAAATTAGGGGCCAGTGGGTGGCACGGTGGTTAAGGTGCTGAACTTCCACATAGGCAACTGTGGTTCGAGTTCTGGACCTGGTGGCTTGTTTTCTCTCTCTGGTGAACACATGTGCCCTACAGCAAAATTCAAGGATAATAATAATGATAAAATTCAATAAAATTTTTTTCAATTATTAAAATGAGAGGAGGGGAGGTGCCCATTTTCATCCCCGTCCTGGTGACTCTCATATCCGTGTTTTTGGTCCTGGCTCCGATCATCAGTGAACCCACGTGGGAGTATCTCTACTGCATGTTATTTATACTGAGCGGCCTCATCTTTTACTTCCTTTTTGTCCACTACAAGTTTGGATGGGCTCAAAAAATCTCAAGTAAGTATCAGCAAGGCCCGTTCTGCTATGGGCATGGCATCTGGCCTCCTCGCCCGCCCTGACTCTGCCAGGGCTTTACCACTGCATCCCACGGGACAGGCCAATTTCACCTCCCCTCTGGAGGACTGCCCTCCACGTTAAGAGCGCTGGGTCCACCCTTAGTCTCCGTGGTTCCTGTCAGTTACTGGGACAAGCAGAAAGGGAAAAGCACTGTTTTATTTCTCACTGAACAATACACATAACACAGAATCCACCATCTTAACCATGTTAAGTATGCG